AAATTTCATTACAGGATTACGTGTAGTGGATAGTATTGAAAACCACTCAAATTATTTTGTGACAATAAATCAGCAGTCTTATATTCCAATAATAACAGAAATTCGACGAAATCTAAACATATAGATATCAAGTTTCTAACTGTTAAAGAAAGAGTACAGAGTGGACAGTTATCGATAAAGTATATTGGGACAAACTCTATGGTTGCGGATCCGCTTCTTAAGGGATTGCCACCCAAAATATTTCATGAGCATACTGCTCATATGGGTGTCATGTTGTTAAATGATGTACAATTTTAGTGGGAGTTTGATATTTTAAATGCTCTTATGATACTTTTCCGGTTATTAATGATTTAAGGATATTTTATGCATAAATAAAGTTTGAACTTATTTTACACTCTGATTTTTGGTATGGTTTGATCTCATAAAATTTAAGGTGGACCAGTTGGAAATAGGTATGTTATGATTACATTACATGAAATTTTCATGCTACACATCCACATCATGATTCATGTCATTTAATTATATCAATATATGTGACCATTAATGGGTCGAATTACGAAATTGTAACAAAGGCCGCTTTGATCTTATGTTGGTATGATTGATGGACCGAATTGGTTACAGATATATTGTGGCAATGACAGTAAAGTTGAGTTCATACGGTTAATTACAAAATATAATTATAAGATTACATATATAGTCCAAGTGGGAGATTGTTGGATTCTTAATCCAACGTTGGATTTATATGTGAATAATTATGTAATGCAAACTGTCAAATAAGGTTAAGTCTAATTAAAGTTATCAAATATGGTTTGGATTTAATGTATCTAATAGGATATGTGCTTTTAATGTGTAGAGATTTAAGAGTTCCTATTTCTATGATAGGTTGAAATAGGGTTCCAAAGGGTAACAAGAATGTTACCTATAAATAAGGTTATGGTCCCCAGATCACACGTATTATTCTATTTGTCGTATTTTCTAGTACCAAAAAATAGCTCTTCCCTGATATCCTATCCGCAGGAAAGATACCAGAGAGAAACTAAATGGCTTTCTAGAATTGGCAAATACGTGTTGACCTGGAAGGCCACCCCAAAAACTCTAGGGATTCGAGCACCAGTTTGTCAACATGAATTCAAGTACGTTTCTGCAAATTTTCTATTAATTTATTTTTAATAATCGCCATAAAGATCTTGGATTTCATAGATGATGATTTTCACCAAAATGTTAAATATAAATAACCGTCCTAACATATACACCTTTCGTTGGTCTCTCTCTCTCTCTCTCTTCCAACTCGTAATCTGAATTTTTATTAGTTTTCAGTTAGGTTTTTAAGATCAACATGATCCTCATGTATATTATTTTGATCCAGATCCAATTAAACTGTTTAGCGGGTTTGATTTTGTGGTACCATGTATAGGACAAAAACTTGTCCATTGTGTGAATTCATCTTGACTAATGGCATCCATGCATTTCTGGTTTATAAGTGAAATTCATTTCACATTTTTTTACATATGCATTTCTTATACAAATTTGTTTTGTTTTAAAAGCGATGTTGCGGGTGAGACATTGGACAAGCACAGCACATCTTCAGGAATTGAAAAGATTGAGATGCCTTGTTTTGTATCAAGTTGATGTCCGCAGCATGAACGAGCATCCATACCTGAAGTACATGAAATTTGATGTCATACTATTTAACTTTCCGCGCGCAGGGCATTATCGATGGTTACATGAAACAGACTCCATCCTTATTCGGTCAATGAAGATTTCTATTGATAAAGCACACAGATGCCTTCTGCAGTTGTCTATTGACTTGCTTGAAAATTTGTGAAATTTTGTAGTTATTGTATTGAAGTACTAGTGTTGTTGTAAACCAAACCCTATATTGCTATTCGAGATTATTGGCCTAAGTATCCCATCGAGATATTCAAGATAGCTCAGAAAATAGCCCTCCGGCTTAAGAAAATAATAATGTTTTATTGTTTCTCAGATGGACAATATATCGTTAATGTCATATTAGTTGTCTAATTTCTGAATTTATGTACCAATATTCAAGTGTTGTGAATTAAGAAACAAAGGAAACAGAAAAAAACCCTAAGGACTGAAATAGTTCATTGTGGCAAGTTACTATACAGAGTCAATATATTATCTTCTCCAATGAACAAAGTGATTAAGGATAACAAAAATTCCTTAGTCGCCAATTTAAAATTGTGAAATGGCTATAAAAGGACTCTAGTTCATTGTACTTAACCAACCATTTTTTGCCCTTTTAGTTTGATCTGCATGTAATTTGTTTACTTAATTAGTAATCTTTGCTATTTTCTTTTCTCCACTTTCTTTTTGGCTCCTTTCAGATGGGTTGACAATATTACATGATGCACCAAGATCTGATAGCAGCTTACTTCAAAACAGTAAAAGAAATGCTGCTAGAAGAAGGTGAAATTCATGTAACCGTTAGGGATGATTATCCCTACAATAGATGGGAAGTTGAGAAGGTAGCCGAATATGCAGGTTTACAACTGAAAGACAAAGTTGAATTAAGAAAAGAGAACTATCCGGCGTACCATAACAAGAGAGGAGGTAACATAAATTCTAACAAAATATTTCCACTGAAAGCATGTTACACTTACAAATTCACTTTGAAAGTGAGTATTTTGGAGAATAGTGATGGCAGCGAGGTGAATGGCATTGCCAGCAGCGAAGTCACTAGTATTATAACCACAGTGGAGGATCTACAAATTTGAGGGTTATTGCTAATAAAAGGATGGTTAATTTCTAGAAATCCTATGTGGCTATTGGCCATATCATAGACTCTGCATCTTTACACTAAAGTTATGGTGGAACATGTAAATTGGTATTGGAAAACTTAATTAATTATCCGAAAAGAAAAGAAGAAGATATTCATGTATTGCATGCAATGTTTTAAAACTCAGACTGATGATTGATCTGATTGAGTGATCGGTTCGATTTTATTGGTTCAACCAATTCAGCTGACTGGATCACTAGTTTTTATTTTTTTTATTGTTTTAATATTCATATATATATATATATATATATTACCATTCATATATATATATATATATATATATATATACATGCGCCCATCATAGCTGTGTTGGGCCAGCCCAAATTACCTTAGAGTAATTTTACCATGCACTTAGTTGACTTGGCAATTGAGTTTGGTCCAATTTAAAAAAGTTGAGCCCACTCCATAGAGTGTTTTGACTGTTCATATCTTATTAACAAGTTAACCCATCATTTACCACTAGAAAATGCGAGGAATTTGAAAAATAAGAATGAGTTAGCAAAAAATCCAAACAAAATTCAAACACATTAGAAATTTGAACAGTAAAAAAATTTAAAAACACCAAAAGATTTGAAATTTTCCAAGGATTTTTAGAGAAATTCAAAAATTATGGATACATCAAATAGAGAAAAAAATGTCACTAGAATTCCTAAAACAACACATAAAATGTAAAAAAACTAGAAAAAATTTCTGCCCAAATTTGTCAAACTAAAACAATCAAACGTGATTACCCAATTATCACTTTCTCAACTAAACAGAACAATCAAAGAGACTAAATGTAACTCCAAAAAAAGAAATTTTTTTGAATCATTGTTAAAATGGTGCAACCATTCCCAAGAATACAAAAAGACAAAAGAAAAAAAAAAAACTTTGAACCACAAAAGAAAGGAAGAAACTGACAAATAAATAGAAAAAAAAACTTGCACAGACCTTTACACATGAAAGGCAAACTCTTGGATCCATTTGACTTCTTATGTAGGCAAGTTATGGAGTTTCAGCTTTGGTTTGAAAAAGATAATAGACTAGAAAGAAGAGAAATGAGTGGAGATTAGAGAGTTTTTGACAAACTCACAAAAGAAGATAGTTTGGAATTTTGAAGAAGAGGAACAAGGGTGACAACTAAGGCTGCAAACGAACCGAACCACTTGCGAGCGGATTGAGTTGAGCTCGAGCTGGCTCGAGTCGAGTTCGAGTTCAAAATATTAAACTCGTTAGCTCGCAAGTTGAGTGTATATACATATATATATATATATTTATTTATTTATTTTAATAGTAAAATTATATATATATCATTAATATTTTATTATTTATTAAGAAAAAATATTATTTTATTTATTTTTTTAAAAATAAAATAATTATTTTTATTTTTTCGAGCTCGAGCGCAAGCTCGACTCGTGCTTTAAATTGTCAACTCATCGAACTCGAACTCGAGTTCGAGTTCAATAAAAATAAGTCAAGACTCGATTCAATTAGGTTAAAACTTGACTCGACTCGTTTGCAGCCCAAGTGACAACTGTCTTTTTTCCTCAAGTTTGCTAGTTTGTTGCTTTTAATATGAATGTCAATAAGTTCGGTGGGTCAAGTGAGGAAGAATACTCAAAATTGGATTCAATCGATTCATCCAGATTTTACCTGTTTTAATGGATTTACTAGTTCTCAATGATTTTTGGTCCATTCCAACTTTAACTTCCAACCAGATCAATTCACGGCTTAACCGATCGAATCGGTTGAATTGGTTCGATCTTAAAAACACTTTTGGGTCAAATGAGGAAGAGTACTCAAAATTAGATTCAACCAGTCCATTCAGATTTTACCAACTTTAACGGATTTACTAGTTCTCAATGGTTTTTAGTCCATTCCAGCTTTAGCTTCCAACCAGATTGGTTCGTGATTCAACCAATTGAACTAATCAGTTTGGTCCGAATTTAAAAACACTTTTGCATGTGGCATTTGCCCCTGTTGCATCCTAAAATAGAACAAAAGTTTCTTCTAGCAAAGTCTAAACAAACAAAACTCATTCAACTTTATAAACTGCTCTGTAACTAGGACACAATGACACACTCCTCATAGTATCAAACAAATGAAACGAAAGGAATAAAAGCAAACAAACCAAAAAAAAAAACACGCATATAAGCTAAGGCCGTATCAAAAGTAATGTACAACACACTAGCTAGCTTGCGATAGGTGTAGATGTTGCGGAAGCCCTACCAAAGTTAAGGTATAACGAGTAAATTATTGTACCTAAAATTGCAAAATGGTAATTCCCAGGAAATATTTGGTGAGGCACACTGGCCTGCTTAAGTACCAATTTCCTAGACAGAATCACCTATATATGCACTTAATTGCACAATAACTCACTACAAATATACCTACAAATATAGCTACTAAATAGACAATAAAATAGAACACTAGAATTTAACGAGGTTCGGCTAATTTGCCTACGTCCTCGGACACTACCGACAATTTAATATTTCACTAGAAGAAATATTACAAAGAGAGAGAAGAAAGCAAGTTATTGGCTCTTGCTTGGTGTGCTTGAATTGGTTTGTTTGAGAGCTATTTATAGTTCTCAAACAACCTCTCAAATGTTAAACTTAACCGATGTGGGATTTAGAAACTTAGGCCAAAGAATTCAAAGTCCTCAATTTTGGCTTGAAAAAGTCATCAATTGAGGCTTGGCTTTGAATTCAACAAATCTCCACCTTGGCATAATTTCTAATCCCACCAAAAATACAAATTTTTTTCCCTCAAATTCGGTGGTGTCTTCAAATGCGTTGTCAAGCGCCAATCTTCAAGTTGTGCACAACATTTATCAAATTCAAACAATGTTGGAACTTGATAGTTGTCACAACCTTCGTAAGCATATCAGCAGGATTCTCCTTGGTCTGAATCTTTTGAAGTAGTATCGTACTATCTTCCAAAATCTTCCTCACAAAATGATACCGTACGTCGATATGCTTCGTCCTTGCATGATAAACTTGGTTCTTTGCTAAATGAATAGCACTCTGACTATCACAATGAACTTTGATAGACTTCTGTCCAATTTCCAATTCATCAAGCAATCCATGAAGCCAAATTGCTTCCTTAACAGCTTCCGTAACTGCCATATACTCCGCCTCTGTAGTAGACAAAGCAACTGTTGACTGTAAGGTAGACCTCCAACTGACTGGTGCCTTAGCAAGTGTAAAAACATACCCAGTCGTTGATCGACGTGTATCTTGATCTCCTGCGTAGTCGGAATCACAATATCCAACTACGCCTTGACCAATCTTCTCATCCCGCTCAAATACTAATCCAACATCTACGGTGTTCAAAATATACCGTAAAATCCATTTCACAGCTTGCCAATGCTCCTTGCCAGGATCATGCATGTACCTGCTCACAACTCCAACTGCTTGTGAAATGTCGGGCCTTGTACACACCATAGCATACATCAAGCTACCCACCGCATTTGCATACGGTACCTTTGCCATATATTCTCGTTCTGCATCATTCTTTGGAGATAACGATGCACTAAACTTGAAATGAGGAGCAAGTGGAGTACTAACAGGTTTAGTCTTTTCATTCATACCAAACCTCTTTAATACTTTACTAAGATACTCTTTCTGTGTCAAATAAAGCCTCCCCAATCTTCTATCTCTACTTATCTCCATGCCGAGAATTTTCTTGGCTTCGCCGAGATCCTTCATTTCAAACTCCCGACTCAAATGAGATTTCAATTTTTCAATCTCACCTTGATCCTTGGAAGCTATCAACATATCATCAACATAAAGAAGAAGATATATGTAGGATCCATCTCGTAGCTTGCGCAAATATACACAATCATCATATTTGCTTCTTGTGTACCTTTGCCCCATCATAAACTTGTCAAATCGCTTATACCACTGTCTTGGAGACTGCTTCAATCCATACAACGATTTGTCAAGCTTGCATACCATCTTTTCTTTACCAGCAACTTTGAATCCTTCTGGCTGAGTCATGTAGATTTTCTCTTCCAAGTCACCATGTAAAAACGCAGTTTTTACATCTAATTGGACAAGTTCCAGATCCAATTGTGCTACCAAAGCCAATAAAATTCTGATGGAGGAATGTTTCACGACTGGAGAAAACACTTCGTTGTAATCAATTCCCTCCTTCTGAGCGTAACCTTTAGCCACCAATCTTGCTTTGTAGCGAACACCAGACTTGTCAGGAAATCCTTCCTTCTTTGCATATACCCACTTGCATCCGATTGCCTTCTTTCCCTTTGGAAGACTGGTTAGCCTCCATGTTTGATTCTTATGAAGGGAATGTACTTCTTCATCCATTGCAATCCTCCACTTTTCTTTATCCGAACTTTGAGCTCATAGCTGTACAGGGCAGAGCTAACTTCACTGAGGGACACCTCAGCTTTCCCATGGAGTAGAGTTGTTTCAAGATGCTCAAACTCCTCAGGAAGAGATCCCAACAACATGAGAGCCAAATCTTCGTCTTCAAATGTCACATCTAAATTCATCAGATCAGTGATTAACTGATTGAAATTAGTGATGTGATCACTTAGAGTTGTGCCAGGAACATAAGTGAAGCGAAATAAACGCTTCTTCATGTTGAGCCTGTTCTGACAATTTTTCTTCAAGAACTTCTCCTCCAATCCAGTCCATAATTTATTTGCAGAGGTTTCTTTTGAGAACACATATTTTTGTTCCCTTGAAAGACACGATCGAATTGTACCACACGCTAAACGATTTAGCGTCCTCCATTCCTTCTCTTCAATCTCTTCTGGTTTCTCTTTTTCGATGGCAATGTCTAGACCTTGATTAAAGAGCGCGTCTAGAATCTCACTTTGCCACATGCCGAAATGACCGGTACCATCAAATGTCTCCACATTTAATTTTGTATTCGTCATAACATTTCTCGCCATAATAGATAATGACGAGCTTGTTGATGCTTGCATTGTAGATGAAGATCTACTTTCGGCCATCTCTACAAATTATATTTAGTAGCTCCTAAATGTAGAGTAACAATAGCCCAAGAAATCTTTTCTGATGTGGAAGATCAGACCATGCTGCAACCACAGAGCATACTAAGAAACCTCGAGCTCTGATACCAATTGTTGCGGAAGCCCTACCAAAGTTAAGGTATAACGAGTAAATTATTGTACCTAAAATTGCAAAATGGTAATTCCCAGGAAATATTTGGTGAGGCACACTGGCCTGCTTAAGTACCAATTTCCTAGACAGAATCACCTATATATGCACTTAATTGCACAATAACTCACTACAAATATACCTACAAATATAGCTACTAAATAGACAATAAAATAGAACACCAGAATTTAACGAGGTTCGGCTAATTTGCCTACGTCCTCGGACACTACCGACAATTTAATATTTCACTAGAAGAAATATTACAAAGAGAGAGAAGAAAGCAAGTTATTGGCTCTTGCTTGGTGTGCTTGAATTGGTTTGTTTGAGAGCTATTTATAGTTCTCAAACAACCTCTCAAATGTTAAACTTAACCGATGTGGGATTTAGAAACTTAGGCCAAAGAATTCAAAGTCCTCAATTTTGGCTTGAAAAAGTCATCAATTGAGGCTTGGCTTTGAATTCAACAGTAGAAGCATTTTGACGAGCTCCGAAATCAGAAACGCTGTCTAAGAGATGATGTGATGCTTTCTCAAAATTAACAACTCCCATGAACCAAAACTCATGTCGATCAACCGTCACAATCTGAATATATTTTTCTGGTGGATTTTGTTTCATAACAACAGGATTCACATTCGCAATGTTTGCCAAAGGTATCATAACCTGTCAAATGGATCTGTATGTTAGAGAACCGCCAACTTTCAACAAGATTTAGCAACTAAAGTAAGTAGATTTCATTATCATCAGAAGAACCAAAGAAAAATCATCCACATATCTATTTTTTGATCTTCTTGGCATCACTATCATTAGCTACTGCATTCTGTAAGACGCTAGAAACTGGCCTGACAGACAGTTTAAATTCGATATTCAAAATTAGTCATGTAAAGAGTCTGACAAACTCAACGAGTCTAATAAAGTCAAACAGAAAATACCTAACTTGACTGAAATCAGTACCAAAATCAAGAAAAAAAAGCTTGAAGATAGTGTTAATCATCATCTCTACAGTTGTAAACAATAATAAACCTCACCTTGTAAATTCAAGGTCCAGCCAAACATGAGACAAACTACACAGACGCAAAATCCAAACATTGCCTTAGCAACATTCAGAACAAGTGAAAATTTTGCGGGTAAGTCGTAAAGGTTTTGATAGAGTCTGAACCTGGCTCGTATTCAAACTAATGAAATCCTACCAACTGACCAAAAAAAGAGCAGACTCCCACCAATAAAAAAAAAAACAAAAAAAAAAGAGTAGACTCCTGAATTTTTTGTGACCCGAAAGCAATTTCTACAGACAGGAGTTTGTTCTTATACCTTGTAATAGCTCCAAGTTTCTTGCCCAGAAGGAGCTCTAAAGGACAAGGGACGATCACTGCAGAAGGCCACTCGAACTGTTGACAAATAAAGAGTTCCAGCAACAGGACGTGTTGAGGTTGAAAGGTAACAAGCAAAGGTCTTCTTCAACCTCTCATTTGGATCTGTAGCAAATATCTGCTTGTAATGAGACTCAAATCCCCCTTCAGTCAACGCCTTTGCTGTCAAATTAAGTTTTCCCCATGCAGTTCCTGAAACCGATGGTCCAGTTTTCACTGCAATTACACAAAGTTAGCCCCTCTTTTCCTTTCTACATAATTCAATCATGGCAACACAACCAATCCAAATATAACAATCTCACACGTTCCCTGTATTTTACACAAATGGCATAACACAAACAACTAAAAAGCAGAAAACTCTGCAGCAAAATGAATCATCTTATTCATGTATCAACATCACTCCTCAATTCTAGTTTTGGAATATAAAACCATTATATTTATTCTCAGTATGATCAGTCATGCAATTCAAGAGTCAAAACTGCCAGCATGAAATGTCTAAGGTAAACATATCAACTTAAGAAACAGAAAATTGTATCGTAAACTCATCACTTATTCCAGTAAAAAAATAACTGTAATAGAACATCAATAAACACCTCTTCTAACCCCTTTTCTATTTTTCTAAATTAACTTTTCATTGCACATCCATGATACATCATATCCCAAGAACTGCTCAAGTATTTTTTTTCCTTAATTCTTCTAAATACAACCCAAACAGAACTCCATAATTTCAATTCTGGGAACAAAATCCCATCATCCATTTTCTCAATACCAATCAAAAAAGCCAATTCAAGATATCAATAGTAATTAATCCAGCACAAACAAAAGCAAGAGAACAAAAAGAAAGAAAGAAATGCTATGATGGACGATCAACTCACAATTGTGCCAGATGTTCTTTGCTACAGTTTCAGCTCTATGGCTCCAAGAATTGAACATATGAATCACAGATTCACCAGGGTTCTCGCTAGGCTTGTCCACAGGTGAGTGAACAACATAGGGGTGGTGCTGATTGACCCAGGAGGCTGCCCTCTGATTGTCTGGATGAGTTGTTGGAGCTGCTGGTTGACCCATGATACGAGTGCCCCACTTGGCCTGATCCTCATCAGTTGGCGGAGTAGCTGTCGGAGCCGCCGTGGGAGCTGGCGTAGGCTGTGGGGGAGGATGGTTGTTCCCGGATGAGTCTGCCATGAATTTAGGACAAGACTCTGAAGAAAATGTTCAAAAGATTCTGTACTTTGGTTATGGACGGTTGAAACTTGGACATGGGAACTCCATTCTAAAGTGGATTTGGTAATTGCTTAATTGGACCTTTCGGTGATTTATAGACGGAAGATTGGGGAGTTTGGATATATATTTGATTCTCCGAGGATTAAAACAAATTGGGTCAAATCAATAATCATTTTACACGTATTCTTTACTTTTGGATTTGGGAATTTGTGCTGGATAAACTACAAATATAATATCAAGAAGATTTGAGCTACTTGATATCCTTGGAATTCCTTCAATTTGATTCTTTGGGCACGTATGAACATTTGATTCTTTGGGCTCGTATGAACAAACATGAAGCTTCGAGGCAGAAAGAATCATCCAGTTTTGATTAGTTCAGACGTGACAGTCATATCTTACTAAACACTCATCTTAATTTCATAATCATAGAATCATGCGGGCTTGAGGGGACCTGCAAATGTTATCGGTGCAAAATTTGTTTGGGTTAATTTGTAGTTTGATCCAATTACGAAACCTACCTTGTAATTTGAGTAAATCACAGTAGAACCTCACAAATAGCAAAACATTTATCAAATGGCCTTTGACGTTATATATCATAGGTAGTATGTAAATTTACACCCTCTCAGACCATGTCCAACCCTCAGTAATTTTGATAAAAGATTTTGCTCATTATTACTTAGTTTTCTGATCAAAAAACACACGCCTGCCTCAGTTGCCCGTAATAACCAACGCAACGCTCAAATTTCATTCGATTGTAAGTGCAATCAACTTATTTATTAAAAATGTGATAAAAAATAATAAAAAAGATCTCCAGTATAAAGATATTCATTGGTGAGTAAAACCAAGTATATACCACCATTTATAAACACCAGAATAGGCAATATTCACCAAGTTAAGAGCAGTAAAAGCTTCCACGATTGGTTGACCAAAATGAGGGTCCCAAATTGCATGACCAATAGGTCTTATATGAGTTTGGTAGATGAAAATTAAGGAAAAAGGTTGGTCTTTTTTTTTTTGGGTGAAGGGAAATGAATTTTGTTCCTATTTTGGCTTTGAAATTATGGACATTTGAGATAGGCATGTGTCTTTTAGCCAGAAAACTGAGCAAAATTGAGTTGCGGGACCAATGTGTAAAATTTTTATATCTGAGAAATTATTTTACTTGATTTTGAATATGAGAGACTAAAAAAGATTTTTCCAAAATGTGAGGGGCTAATTTGGCATTTTTCCCTTTCTTTTATAAACACATTTCACGTTATATAAAACACTTGCCATAGCATAAAGCATCTTCTGAAAATGGTCACAGCGACGAAGAATTTTCTTTCATGAAATAACCACAAAAATCTCATCCTTAATGCTATGTATAAAAAAAGATTACCTAGTGATCAATAATAATAGTACCGTTACATTTGATCTTATAATAACCAAACTTCGATGAGATTATACATAAATATCAAGATATTAGATAGTTTTACAAGGAAGTTTACCAAAAAAAAAAAGGATAGTTTTACGAGGAATGTTCATATTTTGATAAAATCTAATTGTCATAGAGAGAAAAATAAAAAATTCATATAACATCGGACCAAAAATCTCTAAATCCATTTATAAATAAGGGCATGCACACGCGAAAAACATTTGAAAGATAATAGAATGAATAAATAATTTACAAAATAAGAGGCAAGGAAAATTATTTGTATTCCGTGAACCATAAATTTGTACTCGTAAAAAGTTAAAAGGAAATCATCAAATGTTGAGGGTTTTAAGGTTGTATATGTATTTGGGGTGTGGATTTATTTGAAAGTTGTACCTTTTTGTAAAGGGATAATTTTGAAAACCTTCCCTGAGGGTTTTGATAATATCACTTAGTTCACTTGAGATTTTTAAAATTTCACTTACCTTCCCTGTCAACTTGACAAGATCAAATGTTCCTATCAAAGGTCACAAATTGACAAAATTTCCTTGTACTCTTAATAACTATTTAACAAAAAAGCCAAAACAAAAAGAGGATTTTAAAACCAAAAAATGTAGATAAAAAAAATAAACAAACGGCTATTCAATATTGGTCCAAATTTCTCTGTATTAAGGTGATAATGGCATAGCAAAGGACGTGGATAGATTATATATAATCAAAGTCAACTACTTGGAATAATTTTGGCAAGTAATTAACACTTTGAAAAATTTTATAAGACAATTACAAGGAAGTCAAGAAATTTTTTTAGGAAATATCTTTTAATATATGATGTAATTTAAGTTGTATTAAAAATTAAAATAATCTCTTCATACGTATGGTTTGTAACATAAATCCTACTTATAAAAAAATCATAAATAAGTTAGAATTAAAAAAATTAATCAAAAATAATTTAATGACCAAATAAAACTAGGAATGTTCTTTTTTTTAAAATTGTTAAAACGTCATTCATTATATTAGGAAATAGTTGTTGCATTTATAACTACTCATATTTTCAACTTTTTACTTTTTAAACTTATTTTACTTTTAATTGTTGTTGTAAGGGTGGTATTGAAACAAAAAATTTATCTTTCTTGCATTTCCTTCAAAGGGGCTAAAATGTTACAAAAAATGTCAATTCAAGGGAGGTAGGTGAATTTTGAAAACTTAAGAGATGCTAAGTCATATTATGGGAAAATTTAGGGGAGGTTTCTAAAATTATCCCTTTTGTAAATTGAGTTGATTATGTTGACTTCCCTTGAAGTTTTGCCAAATTACATTTTCCTCCCTTTGAGGTTTGTCTAAACAACATAAAACCCTAGAGTTTGTCTAATTCAGCCCAAATTTTTTTTGTTTTTTCGTTTTTTTTAAAAAGGATCAATAGTGGTTCCCCTGGGTGACTGAACCCGTGACTTCTTAGTTATAGGTGAAACATTTTACCAAATAGGCCATGCTTCATTGCCAATTAGTCCAAAACGCTTTAAATAGCCAAACTTTTAATAAATTAACATTTCACTAGCCAATTGCACCAATCCCAACAAATTTTTTGACGATCATTAATTACCAATTTTTTTCCTTGACCATTCTTTTAACTCCTTGTAGGTTACATATAATGTAACAAAAACTCTTGGCAAATGGCGATAATAAACAATAGTGTTTTGATCATTATTATAGTCTCTTTACCACTATTGCATTTTTACATTAAAAACCCTTTTCCATATCAATGTGTAAATGATCAAACTTTGTTTTCCAAAAAAGAAAATAAGCTATTATTTATAAATCAACTTTTAAGATTAACCTTTAAAGATTTTTGTATGAGGACAGGCATTTATATTATGTGTACGGATGAAATATTAAAAATTAAATATTATGTGTACGGATGAAAGACCATGTAGTTTAGCTAAATTTTATTATTGCACAACAAATTATATATTGAAATAAAATTCATAATTGTTGAATGCAAAAAGTTAGTAAGTGATTTTCTAAAACTTTTATTAACTTTCATTTCCTAGTAGTTAGTAAGTGAATTTTTTCTTTTATTTTGGGTTTCATTATTTTCCTTGGATCACGTTACAATATTTTTTTAAGGTTAAATTGTATTATTGTCATATAATAGGATCTTTTTATTGATATGGACAAACATCAAGAGAGATAAATGTAGTTTTTTTGGCAAAGGCTAGCTTTGTCATTTCTCTACTTCCATTAGTTGGATTTCACACCGTTACTCATAAGAGGTAATTATAATTTGGTCAAACCATAATGTTCATTTTGTAATTTGGTCAAAACTCAAGGAAGGTAGCTGCAATTAATCCAAATTATTTTGTTAAGTTCGGGTGTACTACCCCGATAATTTTTGTGATACTAACATGTACTATTAAAGTTTCAAGTTCACAATACTTGCACAAGACTAGAGGTGTCAAATAAAACCATTTAATTAATTTTACCCATATCCGCCCATTAATAACTGGATATGGGTATATTAAATTTTTATATATGGATATAAATGGGTTACCCAATTATACCCATTTAAATGGGTATAATTGGGTAACCCATCTAACCCATTTAAGTTATCATGGAAAATTCAAAAAGTTATCACGGAAGAGGTCAATAATTTAGACATTGAAGTGAGTGAAATGGCCAAGCAAATGAAACGGAAATTTGAGAAGTATTGGGAATGTTATAGCTTGGTTTTGAGTTTTGCCATCATTTTGGATCCACGTTTTAAAATGGATTATGTGGTGTATGCTTTTAAGAAGCTATATCCTTTTGATTATGAAAACGTGCTAATGAAGTTCGGGATAAATTTTATTTACTATTTGAGGAGTACGAGAATACTTTTGATGGTGATTTGCTAGATGGATCAATAGCAGGCTGCTCTGGTGGTGATTTGGGCAATGACAATGATGATTTTGCTGAATTTGAGAGTCAACAACATGCAAACAAGAGGAATAAGTCACAAGTAGACTCTTATTTGGATGATACTCGACTCCTTTCAACTCAAGAATTGGATGTTCTCAATTTTTGGAAAGAAAACAAAAATCGATACCCTATTCTTTCTTTGATGGCACGGGATATTTTAAGTATTCCTATCACTACAGTGGCCTCGGAATCAGCTTTCAGTATTGGTGGTAGAATTGTGGGTAAATATCGTACTTCGCTCCTACCAGAAAATGTGGAGGTCTTGTTATGTACTAGGGACTGGTTATATGGAGTAACAGGTATGTTATACTTAACCTTTCAGTGCAAATGATCTTGTATTTTACTTTTTTGGTCACTTATTGAATTTACTTTTGATTTCAGCTTCTGAAGATGATGAAGATAAAGAAAGACTGAGTATTGACTTTGCACCTTTAGTTGCTAAACTTACTAACCTTCATATTTAGGTAAGCTGTATTCTCATGATCATGGAGATTGTTAGTAATGTGGTGAAAAGAATTTTATCTTTCTGTCTAGATGAAATTTAAGTAGCAAAAAACAAAACTTTGAATTTGGTTTTGGTTTTGGTTGCCAGGAATCTTCTCTATTTTGTGTTGAGCCAGCAGCAAACTTTTAGGTTGCTATCTTTTTACTGTCAAGTGGATATTTGTATTGTCACTGGCACTCCTTCAAGCTGCTTACTTCATCCTGTCTTCTAATCAGAATTCTAGTCATATTGAGCTGCTACGCAAAGGTTTGAAGAATAATACTGAGTTCAGTTTATCAAGAGAACACATGAGCAGGCATGGTATAGAAACTTATGGCAAATATTTTGCTCTAATAGTACCACCGTCTGCATTTGGATTTTGCAGAGACCAGGCCCTGAGAGTCAACTTCTCTCGTGCATCTCGCTGTCCTGTGGCAATGAAAACCATTCTGGCTGCAGTTTTTTTTGGCACTATTCGGTACCTGCTTCACGTAGTAAGTTTGCAGCAAAGTAGAAGCAAGCAAATCAAGCCCAATAGCACAATGGCTAGCACAGATGCATTCTGTAACTTAACTTTCATGGGAAAAGAGGAGAAATCACACGAGTAGTCGTGCTCTTGACAATTTTTTCTTAAAGAGTTTCTTTTGACTTTATCATATTTACATTTTCAGTTTCTTGTATATCTTGTATAATCCAACCTACCTGTGATTACTCATAGTACTGTTGAGTAATTTACATATATTGACTTCAGGTTGATATTTGTATGCTAAATGAAGTGATTGCTAGTCTTCATAAGGATTTTTAACTATTTTTTATGTTAAGTATTTTTGTTTTATTTATTATATTTATTTGTTAGTTTTATCTTATCGCTTTATTTCCTTGTAATTTATTAATTTGATCATTTTTTAGCATCATCAATTTATGACAAATTTTAGCTTCCTTTCTTACCTTTTCAAATGAAATTTTAAATTTATAAACGAAAAAATACTAGGGGTTCAAAGTTTTGGATTAAATTTTTTTGTTAACTTTCATATTATTTAGTCCAAATTTTTAGATTCTCATTGTTCAATTATTAAATAATATGTAATTTTGCAACATGGCACGCGGAAGGAAAAAAATTGATAATTAGACTTATTTGGCATAATAAGTAAATATTTAAAATTAATGATGGGTGTAAAATGATATAAATTGATAATTTAGTTTACAAAATGAATTTATATGAGCTTGTAAAAAATTAGAATAAATGGGTTATAAATGGATAATTGAGTTACCCAACTCATTTTTTGACTTACCCATTTATACCCATCTAATTAAATGGATATAAATGGGTTGACTCATTTATACCCATTACCCATTTTACCCAACCCAAACCCGCCCAAATCACCTATTTTGCCACCTCTACACAAGACAAAAAGCAAAATAAAGGTGGCAAAAGTGGATTTCCAGTTATCCGTTTGCCATTAACATTTGTTATACTTAAACTTTTCTCTTGACTCTCAAGTACATAAATTTAAGGAATGTAGACTTAGAAAATGAGTTCTCTTCGTCAAGCTCTTGCAAACTTTTTCTAAATCTTCGGTTCTTTAGATCCATAAATAATCTAGTTGTACTTTCGTCCATTCCAAATTATAATACTATCTATAATTACGATATAGAATATAAGGCCTCAATGGGCACTTGTCCCTTAATTTGGATAGGCCAACAATAAATAGTTAAAAACCATGAGAAGGGACATATTTAGGGGTAATGTCAAACCTAATCAAGCAAACGGAGAATACACGAAGCTCAACCCAGGTAGAAGGTGTAGTGAGAACTGGAAGTACCCAACAATATATCATTTATGGGCCTTAGTTTGTTTGTTGGATGGACTACGGGTGTTAACTAGATGAATTGATCTGAGTAGTGTTATACTCGATCTTGAATTCAATGCTACACAAGTACTCGAGTGAGTAGAAAATTTTGTAACTGGACTCGATTCGATAATATGCATTTTCAAACTTGAACTCCACTCGATAAGGCTTGAAACTAGTCTTGAACTTTAATGAGTTTGAGGACTTGAAATAAAACTCAAAAAACTCGAAAAAAGGATAGAAAATTTATAGTAAATGATCTAAAATCCTCATATCCTTTTTAGTTTTTACAATTTTACATTTTTGCCATTTTATGAATTTTATTGAGTAAACAACATATGGTAAATTACCTAAAACATAAACTTTAGTAGTCATTTCATAATTAAAATAAAAATATAATATAAATAATATACCAATAATCAAGCTACTCAACAAGTACTTGGGTGGCACAAATGAAACCTCGAACCCGACTTGCCATATGTATTGAGCTACTTGAACTCAATATCGAACTCGGTCAAACTGAGTTCGAGCCGAACATTTGATCGATCTGCTCACAAGTTACTTGGGGCGGCTCGACTCGCGGACAGTCCTAGGATGGGCTTAGTGATTTAAACTTTTAAATGATGGCAATCAAAATAACAGGGGTATATTTATAACGCTTTGGGTAATAAAGTTTGATTTGTCAAAAATTCAAGGGTATTTTGTATAATTAAGCCTAAATGATGTGGCACTAATCTGTCTTCCATACTTGAGTGCGCAAACATACGCTGTTACGTTCAACAACTAAAAAGGTGGTTCAGCGGATTTGCCAATGAAGCCTTTTTTTTTTTTTATAACAACTTTTTATTTTATTGATGAGAGAAAATTACAAAGCATAAATTCGTGTTACATACGTCTTATTTTCCGAATTGACGGTAAACCTAATTTGTCAAGGCGAATTGCCCCACGAGCTTCCCTTGGGAACATAGTAAAGCTGTCATATACCTTGACCTTTTGATGTGGGTGAGAAACGCCCACATTAGACAACGCATCAGCAACTGTGTTAGCCTCTCGATAGCAGTGTGAAAAATGAATAGGTTCCTGCAGGAGCTTCCAAATCTGCTTGATCTCCCTTCGAATCTGCCACGGACATTGAGTGCTTCGTTGAATGATCCCAACTAAGAGCAGCGAATCTGATTGCACACTTATATTTTCGAATCCCCTATGTTTACACGTTTGAAGACCGATAAGGAGAGCCCAAGCTTCTGCACGGAGAGATGTAGTTTCTCCAAAATAAGCCGAAAAGGCAATCAGTGGTGAACCAGTTGGATCCCGAAGAACTCCTCCACCTCCACCCACTCCTGGATTACCCTTAGAACATCCATCCGTATTAAGTATGAGCCGTCCTATCTCCTTTGTCTCCCATCGAACAAATTTGTATGCAACCGTACCGACAGACACATCCGATCGATCATACAAATGACAAAAGGATTGGAATCGAAAAACTTGTTTGAAGTGGATCCCCATGATAGACTGAATTTCCGAGAAAATGAGATGACAAATAACAGACGATCGCATCTGGACACCCTCAAACATTGCTTTATTCCTTGCCTTCCAAATCTGCCAGCAAACTATGTAACCGCAACCACCACCCTACTATGCAGGACCGCAGAGAAGACCCTGAACAGCTAAATCCACATAAACCTCGAAAATAGTTCCAAACTTCCGATGCTATTTGTCCATTGGCAAATAAATGCTCGATAGACTCTGCAGATGCCGAAGAACAACACAAGCACTTTGACGGTAAATGAAAACCAAGTTTACATAACCTATCTGGTAGCGGTAGTCTTCCTAGAAATAGTCGCAACATGAAGAATGAGACTTTCCAAGGAATCCGAGGATGCCAAATCGAAGCAAAAACTATCGACTTGTTGCGGGCCTGCCTAATGTCTTTGAAAGCCGATTGTAGAGAGAATCTACCAGATGTGGTGGGCATCCAAATGACTTCAACTTCACTCCCTTCTTCCGGTGGTATGTGTTTCACAATGGAGGACATTTTCTCCTTTGGTATTGTAAGACCTAAGGAATTCAAATCCCAGTGACCATTGATGACGAAATTGCGGAAAGTCAAATTTGGGATAACTTGTGCTTGTAGGAACAACGCACCACTTCCCAACCAGTTGTCGTACCAAAAGTGACACGACCCGTCCCATAACATTGAGAGCTCGACTTGTCGACTGACGTTGACCATCCTCCGCCAGATTGCCGAGTCCGTTGATTTGAGTTCTACCTGACAAGGATGGAGGGTTTTGCAATATTTTGCTTTCAAGAACATTGTCCACAACGATGATCCTGTTCGGAAATTCCACCAAAGCTTGCATGAAAAAGCTTTGTATACGTCCCATAGTCTCCGAAATCCAACTCCTCCCTCATCAACTGGATAACACAAATGAGACCATCGTATCCAATGGTACTTCGAGTCCGCGGGTGAGGACCCCCACAGGAAGGCTGAGCAGGTCTTTTCTATAGTTTTGAACAACTTACCCGGGAACACTGCAGCCGACATCAAATGCAATGGCATTGATGCCAACACATGTTTGATTAGAACTATTTTGCCTCCAAAGGAAAGTAATCTTGATTTCCACAACAAAATCCTCCCTAGAATAGACTGACAAACTTCTCCAAAGTATGATGATTTACATCTTCCAAAGTATAGCGGGAACCCTAAATAACGTATCGGAAATGAGTGCCAGGTAAACCTGGTGATACGTTCAATTTGCCTTCTTCTCGCCAGTGGCATCGATGGATGTACCAAGTAGCAGCTTTTTTGCACATTTATCAGCTGCCCCGAACACCTTTGATATGCCTCTAACACCTGCATAATAGCCTTCAGAGAAAAGGAAGAGCCATTTGCAAATATGAGAACATCATCCGCGAACGCCAAATGAGTTATAGAAGGACACCCATAAGGAACTTTGAATCCCACGAAGCCCGACTGCATGATGAGATTGTTTAATCCTCTAGACAACACCTCGGCCCCGATAATGAATAATGCAGGTGATAATGGGTCACCTTGACGAAGCCCTCTCGAAGATTTAAAGAAGCCGTAGGAGGAGCCATTTATAATGATTGAGAACCAGACATTAGAAAGCAATCGCCATACTAGGTCAATAAAAATTTTCCCGAATCCAAACTTCCTCAGAACATTAATAATATGACCCCATGACACCCGGTCATACGCCTTGGACATGTCGAGTTTCATTAAAACATTCCCACCTCTATTCTTTTTTCCCATACTCGATACAACCTCTTGAGCTAGGAGAAAATTTTCAGTTATATTGCGGCCCTTCACAAAACCTGTCTGCTGGGGGGAAATAATTTTTGGCAATAAAACAGCCACCCTGTCCGCCAAAATCCGGGATAATAATTTATTGAAAAAATTACATAGACTGATGGGCCTAAAATGAGAAAATTCCTGAGGATTTGGCTTCTTTGGAATTAGAACGATTGAAGTAGAGGTGATGAAACGGGGCAAATCCGCCCCACAGAAAAAACTGAGTACCGCATTGTAGACATCTTGGCCGATCACCTCCCAAGCAAATGTAAAAAATTTTCCTGTGAAACCATCTGGACCAGCAGCACTTTCTCCATCCATTAACTTGACGACTTCGTACACTTCCTTGATCGTAGGCACTGCTTGCAGCCTCTTATTATCGTCTCCCGAAATCATCGGCGGAATTAGGTGTAGCATATCAGAAGATGACTCCAAAGAACCTGTGAAGAGATTATTGAAATATTCTGTTGCCTCAGTTGATATATCATCATCCGTGTCTACCCAAACGCCGTTGGATTTTTTTATACGGTGTATCATTCCTTGAACACGTCTCTGCCTTACTACCGCATGAAAGTACCTTGAATTTCTATCTCCATGACGAAGCCATTTAACCCTTGCCTTTTGCCTCCAAAATTGCTCTTCAATTGACATTGCATGCCGAAACTCTGCTTGTGCCTTATTGAGTTCAATCTGACACTCTTCTGAATAGTCTTGATCCGCAACCTCCTCTGCTCTATGGACCGCCATTTCCGCATAACGAACAGCATCAATAACATTCCCAAAGTGTTGCTTGTTCCATGTTTGAATAGCCCTTCTCGTGGCCAATAATTTGGAGCATAAAACGCGCAATGGAGATCCCTCTACATCTTGATTCCAAGCCTGGCGAATCACCTCCAGGAATTGTGGTTTTGTAGTCCAGACATTTAAGAAGCGGAATGGCCGAGGTTTAATATCCGATCGGGTCGCAAACGTAATCTTCAATGGTGCATGATCCGAGGGATGTCTTGCCAAGTGAAGCACAGAGATTTTGTTAGAGAGATCCAAGAAAGATCCATTGATTAAAAATCTGTCCAACCTTTTTGAAATTCGAGCTCTACCCCGCCGATTATTAGACCATGTAAAACTAGCTCCTGAGAAGCCTAAATCGAAGACCTCAGCCTCCTCCATGAAAGACATGAAATCCGCCCCCTCAGCTATAGCAAATGGACGGCCTCCCCGTTTTTCATGAGGTGCCAAAATTACGTTAAAATCACCCCCAATGCACCAAGGTAGTAAACTAGGCTTATCATGTAATAATGAACACCATAAATCTTTGCGCTCCTCTACTGAACACTTTGCATGAACAAAGGACATGACAAATTTACTAGGAAGCAATGGACTTTGAATATCTAGAGAAATATGCTGATCCGAACTACCAACGATAGAGCAAACAAAAGGACTACTGTAGAATATCCAAATATCACTTGAGCAATTAACAAACACATAATCAAAGAGTAGACGTAAGCGAATGGACTCAATTTTAGATACGTCTAGTTTTGGCTCACAAATGACAACAAATTGAGGGTGATGTATCCGTATTAATTTAATCAATCTTCTTAGATTAGGAAGTTTAGCTATCCCTCTAATATTCCAAAATAATCCATTAATCATGAGAAAGAACCTGGAATGAGTTTTTGGATGATATATTTGACCGTAATTGTCTGTCAGATGGGAAAGGAGCCCGCACACCCTTCTTCCGCATTTGTTGAAAATCACAATGAAGCTCCTCGGATTGATCAATATTTAGAGCGTGCATTGACGATTCCTGCATTTTTTCTTGTGGGACCCCTATTCGTGGAGACAAATTTCCTGCAATATTAGTCGAGCTAGGCAAATTTTCCCCATGTTGTGTGGAAGATACATCTTCTACCCCATGTAATTCAACATAGAGGTGCTGCAAATCTTTTTTGACGGCCAGCAGTTCATTTCCATCGATATCATTGTTGTCGGACAGATTCTGTTGTTCAATGTTTAAAGCATTAATTTCGGCCAGCTGCTCTTGTTCACTAGTCAAAGATTTCTGCTTAAGATGCTGGGTCCCTTCACTTTGAAGACCAAGGTGCTCCTCCAGCTGGTTTCCCATTTCCGCTTGTCCCCCATGCATTGCCGCATTCTCCATGTATCCATTTACATTAGAAGATTCAGGCTGGGTTTCTTCTTCAACTACAGTAGTGTGAACACCGAAGTCTTGCTGAACGTCCCCTTCATCATCTTGCAAAACAGATCCAGAAGCCTTGTCCGTTGCACCTGGGAAATTTTTCCTTCCATCCAGCGTAGCAGTAATACGCTTTTCATGAGAAGAAACCACAGTATCTGTTGTTTCATTCGCATTACCAGCTGAGTTATTAACAGGTTGAAGAATAATAACCTGATTTCCAGCTAACTGTGAGTCCTGCTGCATCTTCATGGGCTGTTGCCAAGACCCAACCTTATCCAAATTCTTTTTGCACTCCACATGAGAATGTCCTAAACGCGAGCAAATGGAACAATATGGAGGGATGTTTTCTGGCACAATACGTTGCCAGAAACCAGATTCCCCTTCGACAGCAATCCAAATTCTTGGCACTACAAGCTTCGCTACATCTATCTCCACACACACCCCGGCCATACTAGGACGAGTCCCAGCAGCAGTTGCCGAATCTAGGAACAAAGGTCTTCCTACTGGAGATAGAATGGAAAACAAAGAGTGTTTATCAAAATAATGAATAGGCAGAGACGGAAGAGTTACCCAAACCGGTACTAGAGATGACTCTCTTTGCACATGAAATTCCCTGGTCCATCGAAACACACGCATTGGATAGTTACCCAATTGCCAAATTCCTCTAGTCCAAATTCGGTTGAAATCTACTTCAGCGGAGCACTTAATAAGAACATGCCTATAATCCAATAAACCAATGGAAACTTGGTCTTTGAGGTTTAAAGAAGCAAAAAACTTTCGAGTATCTTCCAAGGAAGGTCGTCCGTGAGAAAATTTGCCAACCAATGTCCATCTAAATGGCACTGCAAGTCTGTCCGCATCTACTTTGGAAAAAACAACCGCAGCTTCACCCTTGTAAACTGAAGCCTGTCGAATCTGGATTGGAGATGTAACCGGCTGTGAAAAGAGCTGGGAAAAGGATTTTTTTTTTGTAGGAGAAAGTTTTTGCCCCTCAGCCGACGGCTGAAGGGCTGCCATGAACGCTTACGTACACTGGTGCAGGTTTCTGGTCCTTATGGCCGAGAGAAAACCCAATAGAAAGACTAGTGAGGATTATTTACTTCCAATGAAGCCTTGATTTTGTGGTAAAATAACTAAAGTTAAGTATTTTAAATTCAAATCCCATGAATTCTCCATAATTTTACATTAATATTTGAAGTTAATATTTCATACACTAACAATATATAAGTTTTCCACGTATGACAACTAATTGTAATTTGAATTTGATATCTAATTGTTTGATAGCCTAATTTAACACTTAAATTTATTGGGTTTAGATCTTAATGTGTTCAGTCGCATTTGATAACTAAAAGTAAAACATTTGAATTAGTCAAGTGGCACTGAATTTTTTATGTAAAATTTATTTCAAATAATAAGTGATAAATTATTCACTTGTCATTAATTTGATACATATGAATGTATATCAGATTACTTAACAATTTAATAAGTTAATAAATTCAGATTTAACATTTTAGAATTTAAATTTCAATTTTCAAATTTTAGTTTTATCAAACGCACCCTAAACTTGACATATATGGTATGCATCCAAGTATGACATTGAATACGCTAACAGTGCACATAGGATTGATGCTATTCTTAAAGTTTATACTGCCATTTTATGAGTTAGAGAATTTGGAAAAATCCATCGCCATGATTCAGATTAATCTAGATTTGAATTCCATTAAAAATTTTAATGTTCAAATATATCTAATTAAATATCATTTCAAATTCTTCCTTCACAACTTCAAGCTATCTCTTACTTAATCACCAAGGCACTTTCAAAGTTCAAACCCAAACACCCAAAATGAATGGTGTGAAACCGCATGGACTACGTAATTTGTTGCTATCTTTAATATCCACAACTTTATCTCAATAAATATTACCTCATCGAGTGGTGTCTCTATCTTGCTTGCCTGAGACACGTAACTGTGCTGGAATGCTGCCACTTTATCGCCTAGCCCTTTAAGCTTCGGTGGTAAGGTTAGACTTAAAAAATCTGCTTTCCTTAGCTTAAACGAGAGCTCAAAATAATTTCTTCCAATTTCCAAAAAAAAAAAAAAAAAAGAACTCAGCCAATTTCAAGCTTTCCTTCATCACTTGTGAATCCAAATTGAAGTGCAGACGATGAGTGGTGTTTATCATCACAACCACCAAGGGCCCTATTCTCCACCAGGCAAGTAATTCAAGAATCAAAATTCTAAAGAATTTATACTTTTGCTAACAATTTCAATTGTGTATTTTCCAACGTAAGATTTATTCCTTGCAATTTTTTAATTCATGGCATTCACCAAGTTAAGAATGAAGTGATAAACATAAATCTAATTAATAAAATTATTTTGTTTCTATGAAAAAAAAAGAATATGGCACGCTAAAATTTCTAAGATTTCTGAGTTAACGTTTGCGTTATGTGGCTTGTAGTAGTTAGTTTTCATAACTGTATGTTTTTTTTTTCTTGGGAAAGAAAAGATTATTAAAGTTATATGTCAGTTATTACATGAACAAAATTTTCAGGGTATGCACCAACTCCTGGGGACTACCCTTCAGCGGTGCCGCCACCACCAGGGTTCTTCAGTGATGGCTTCCCTCCACCACCTCCGCCTCCGGGGCCTCCTGGCTATCAAGGGTATTTCCGTGATGATTATCCTCCACCACCACCTCAACATATCTACCACCAGTCTTGGGATAATTACCACGGTGATGCTTTCTGCCCTTCATGTTTGAGAAGCTGGTATGCCTCCCAATTATTATTATTATTTGTTTTTGTTTTAGTTGTTACTTGTTCGTCTTATAATCTTTTCGATCAGTTTTATCTTTGTTTATTTTGTATTCACATTCTTGTTTAGTTCTCTGAGGAAACACTTAATCACATGAACATTGTTAACACGTAATACTATAATTTCTAGCTATTAAGTAAATAATGAAATTTAGTTTTTCTTATAAATACGTATACGTGACATACATCTAGATCCGTTAGTCTTGGCTAATTTTGGTATTTAACTGTTCAATTTGCACTCATCATGAATTCCACAATTTGAACAAGCTATTGTTAGCTTTAGTTTTATTCGGTAAAGAAGAAAAGATCGAAATTTTATGCCAAAAATTAAAAATTGTCCAAGAGGGCTTTACCAAGTTGGCTTCCTAAGGAAATCCGCAAGAGGAAGAAAGCCTTCCACACTCTAATACAAAAATAAGATGATAAATGATAATTTGCTAAAGAAGATCTGACTTAAGAGCAATCAACGAAAAGGATTCCTAGAGTAAAGTTGGATCATTTTTACCAGTTAGGCTACCTGAGAAACATTTTCATTGGTCTTGGGAAATGAAAGCTGCATTTTTATGTACGTAGCACAAGAATTAATGGTCCTTTTTTCCTTTATATTTTTGGGCTAGGCACATTTTGGTCCAATTTTTTCTTTCTAGAGCGGGATCATATTCAATCTTGTAATGGAACCGAATCTCAACTAACATGGATCAGAACCTCCTAAATCTCTACCACCTAAGCAATTAACCTAACCTAACTGATTTGATATTCTAATTAGCACATTTTGTCCAATTTGTGTTTCTCCATCCAGTTCACTGTTTTCTTGGAATTGTATATAGTTATCTAAGGACTTGTCCGTTTACTGCTATTTCTTATTAGGAACAGCCAAATATATATGACAAAGAGTATAAGCCAGTAAACTAAAAGTAAATATTGTTAGATGACACACACACACACACACACAAATATATATATATATATATATATTACCATTAATTGTTCTTAAGAAATTTCATGCATTTTTCTCATTGGTGCAGCTTGGCAATTCTCTGCTGTTGTTGGATATGGGATAGGTGCTGTTGGTACTAATCAAAGGGATTCTGTTGATTATTATGGACTCCCAAATTGCCAAAAGAAGAAATAAGAATCTGGAGAAAAAAAATGTTTTTAATTTCAAAAGAATTGTGTAAGTTTGAGGACTTTGATTTTTTCTTCATTTCTTTATTTGTGTCCCTGTTTCCTCTCAATTCATGTCATCAGAAAATTTTAGAAACAGACTGTGATAGGTAATGTTGGGCTGATTAAGGCGTGATTGTCCTTGCCACGGCAGTCACAAAGGTATAGCTAGCTGCATCAAGTCAAACCAAATAAATAAATAAATAAATTGATTCAGAAGCTTCAGAATTTTTTGTTTTTGTAAACATTTAATTGATTCATTTTCATGAATCAAGAGCTAAATCTCTAAATATCATGGCAGTAAAGTCACTCTGCCCCTTATAGTATGGTCATTTTTTGACTATGCTAATATCGCACATGTGATTAATTCCGTTTGGGTTTTCCAATCTTCCATTACAGATGCTATGACGACTTTACTGAACGAATTGACTAAGACTCCAAAGATAAAAGATCAAAATGAAAATTGACGAAATGGGAACTTTAAAAATTTTGTCATTAACGAATTTCGCCTAGCTGTTCAACTTTATCTAATTCAGGCTTACATATTCATCATTGGATGAATGACAATTATACAAAATTCGAATTTGAAATCCAACTTTCGCACGTGTGTTATAAATCCAATAGTGATAATGTATACACTATCAATGTATATACTCGTAACAAAATCGTACAACTATATAAATAGGAATAAATTGAAAGTTGTAAATAGCTTAAGTGATCAGTGCACATTGCAGAGTGATGATCTTCATAAACTAATTCTTTGGTCATTCATGCGGAGGATATGCATTTATGAGATTCTCCTTTTGTAACGGCAAATATTAGTTAATGAAGAATTTCCTTTTGGTATAGTGGAAAAATAATGGAGACCAACCATAATTTCCATTTTATTCTTTGCTTGTCTTTTAAACCTTTTGAAGATAATACTAACTGTACACTTGTAATTGCTAATTTTTCCTCTCTGCGTGGTTTTGACTTTTTCTTCATCAAGACTACTTACTTTGGGTACTTATTCCCAATTATGTGCCAAGAAACTGCTAAACTCGATGGACAAGTAAAGAATATTTCATCAAGTGAACTAAAATCATAGTAGTTGTAACTTGTAAGTGAGAAAGATGAGGCTGTTTTGTAGAACAGTTTCGTACGTTACTTTGTTTGCTTCCTTAGCTGCAGTTTTTGTAGCTGTGACAACAAATGGCTCCAAGCGTTTGTCTTTTTTCTCCCTTCCATCTTCACCATGGACATGGACGCCCACCATTGCCATTCCTCCATCATCCTCCTTCTCCCTTCCTCCATTCAGTGCAAATCAATCTTCGCCGCCAAACCCTAAATCTGCTCTTTACCCACACTTTAGTGTAAAATGTTTAACACATTTTTTACTAGTTTGTTTATAATTCTCATGCTAAAATTATTCGTTTTGTACGTTTATATTTGTAAGATTTCATTTCTTGCATTTGCCATTTTTCCTAAGATGTGTAAATCCATGGTGTAGAATCCAAAAATGCAAAAAGTGGTGGATGGTCTCATTAAAGATTTGGATGCTGAAAGCTTGAAGAGAAGAGGGAAACCAAGGGATGAGAAAATGGAGAAGATTGAGGCGAGTCTTGCCAGAGCTAGAGCTTTGATTAGAGAAGCCATAGTCAATGGCAGCCAGCAATTGCCTCTTCATGACGCAGACTACATTCCTCAAGGAGAAATTTACAGGAGCCCTTCAGTGTTTCACAGGTAAATAACAAATTCTTCTGTTTGAATATTAATTTTCACACTTTGGCATGGAATATTACAGAGGAAAAAAAAGGAAAAGATAGCATATGGAATATTCTAATAGTTTAGTCTTGTTGGGAAATTAAGGCAATGAAACAGAATTTACTATTTGGTCATACAGGAATTAAAACTTTGACCAAAAGAAAGGAGCTAAAGAAAAATTTTTGTGATGAATGGCTTAATTATGATAAGTTCTTGTCTTAAAATATGCGTGATAATTGCAAAATTGGGGCACTTGCAATGTTAAATAAACTAAATGGTTAAGCAGCAAGTTCTTGGGTTCCTTTGATCATTATGGTGTAATCCACACCATCTGATCAGAGAACGCATAAATTGGAATTTCTTCTTATGAAAAAGGAAACTGGAATAATCAGTTGAATATTGAAACAAGAATGCAAACCATATACAAGTCTATTATAAAGTGAACTGAGTCATTTCTACCTACATTCAGCAGTGCATACTACTGTTCTTTAACTTTATATCAGATTCAGCTCAAACCCTGTGGATTAAAGAGCGAGTTTTTTTGCAGGAGTTACCAGTTGATGGAGAGTCTCTTCAGAATATTCGTGTACGAAGACGGGGAGCCTCCCTTGTTTCACTATGGACCTTGCAGGGACATATACTCATTGGAAGGGATATTTTTAGGCTTAATAGAGAAAAACACACGATTCCGGACCTATAATCCTGATGAAGCTCATGTATACTTCCTTCCTTTCAGTGTAGTAAAGATCCTTGAGCACCTTTTCGATCCAATTAGCCGTGATAAGGCTGTTCTAGAACGTGTAATTGGCGATTATGTTCGTATAGTTTCTACCAAATATCCGTACTGGAATAGAAGCTTGGGAGCTGATCATTTGATGCTTTCCTGCCATGATTGGGTACTTTTTCTCCTCTACAGAAGATCGCTTTATCTATTTATTTTTCTCTAGTTCTTGTCTTTTGTTAAGAGCTTGTGGTTCTAGTCTCTTTTTTACTTTACCTGAAGTTAATTTAAGAATGAGATTCATGGATAAGGGATCTAAACAACCAAAAAGACCAAGAGATCAAGGATTGATTCTGTTCTGAACCAAAATCTTTACTGAACATTAAGTCATTCAACTCTAATGAATCCACTCATTAGTCACTGCTTCCCAAGCAAAATCATATTATCCTGTTGATTATAGTAGTGAAACCATGTACTCAAAAAGTCTAAACAATTAATCTTTTACAAGTTCTGAAAGAAGTGGATGATAACCAAGATTTAATCGAGCTAAACAGAAGTTCAACAGAAAGTAAAACATTTCAAAAACAGCTTTCAAGTTTGGAAAGGCTAACTATGCTGATTTCAGTCAATAGGCTTTAAGTCACAATGTTACCATGCAACTACTCACTGGTGTAATTTGGATATGTAGGGGCCTCGTGCTACATGGTATGTTCATCAGTTATACTTCACTTCCATTCGAGCTCTATGCAACGCGAATACTTCTGAGTTCTTCAACCCCCGGAAAGATGTTTCATTCCCTGAAATTAACCTCCAGACTGGAGATATTGCCATAGTTACCGGAGGATTGTCCCCATCAAATCGAACAATTTTAGCATTCTTTGCCGGTGGATACCATGGACGAATTAGGCCTGCACTTTTTCAGCACTGGAAGAACAAAGACAGTGACATTCAAGTATATGAAAAACTGCCAGGGAATTTATCTTATCATGAAATGATGAAGAAAAGCAAGTATTGTCTGTGTCCAAGTGGTCATGAAGTTGCTAGTCCAAGAATTGTGGAGGCAATATATGCAGAATGTGTTCCAGTATTGATCTCACAGGACTATATTCTTCCTTTTAGTGATGTTCTTGATTGGAACTCTTTCTCCATTCAGGTTTCAGTGAGTGAATTGCCAAACCTGAAAAAGATTTTGATGGGAATTTCAGAAGGTAAACATAGAAAATTGCATGAGGCAGTGAAGCAAGTGCAGAGGCATTTTATGATAAATGATCCTCCCAAGAAATATGATGTATTTCACATGATAATTCACTCCATTTGGCTCCGAAGGTTGAATGTCAAAATATATGGTTAATAGAAGTCATGTTAATTATGCAAACTACAGTATACTAGTTAAATTGAATATCCCCTCAAATGCTTGATTATTTTTTCTCAAACCAAACTCACTAGATTGATGAGAACATCACTGCCCCCCAAGTGAGAATAGAAATTGATAAACACTACTATTTAATTTGATTTGGCAAAACTGCCAGCCAAATGACACTATGCTAATGAAAATAAGCGAAAAAAAAAATTCAGAATCTCTATTGGAAGAACAAGAATTTAGGGTTTCTATGCTGCAATGGTGGTAAAGTGCTTACCCCCAAAAAACCCGTCAAAAAAAAAAAAAAAAAGAATCGGATCCTTAAGTCTAAAGTCCTTCGCGTACATATCATGACTTGTGGAACAACATGTTATACATTGACAAATAACCATTTTTTTTTTGTTTAGACAAACAGGATATAATCTGATCCTTAAGTCTAAAGTCCTCAATCTTGGGCTTCTTTGCCGCTACTAACTAATGGCAAAATAATGTGAGGAATCTAGGGCCTTAACACAATTGAAGAGCAACTGACTGAACCCTCTTTGTTGCAATTTAAGTAGGAAACCAGGCCACGACATAAAGGACATGAGTTACCTTTTACCAGCCATTGAAATATGCATCCTCTTCTATGATAAACATGTGAGCATGGCATCCTTGTAACCTCAAATCCCTGCTGAGAATTCCTCCAGACAAATTGGACAATGGTCCAAGCAACCCTCTAATTTTTTTTTGTCAGCAACGATATATTTGTATAACCTACTTTATCCTAATCTAAGGGGAGGGGGAATCTAAGGAGGCTGTGGTAGGAGAGACTAGTGGGTAGGGGGCCTAAGAAGGACAGTGGGTATACAGATCCAACTAGACTAAGAGAGTGATAGGGCACAACCCTTAAATTTTTTTTACTGCAAATGAGGTTTGAATCCTCACCTACAGTCCAAGGAGGGACTTAAACCTCTCCTGGTGGCCACTGAGCCATTGGCCCAGTGGTTGTCCAAGCAACCCTCTAAGCATTCGATTTTTCTTTGTATCAGTTCCTTGAAGAAATTGAACTGTCGCACGCTGATAATTGCAATCATCATCATCATCTACTACTAATTCATTGTTATACATTTCTTGATCATCACCATCCACATCATTGATTGAGTCAACATCACGACTATCATCATCTACTAGAGTCGCGTTCAATGTTAATACGCGAGTCAAGCTGAAGACTTCATGGGATTTTATGTGGTCTAAAATGGATTGTACGATTTCTGCTTCTTGAGAAGCAAAATCATGCTTGTTTGGAAGAGCAGCTGAGAAACCAGAGATCGTGAAGACAACAAAAGATCATGTTTAATTCTGAATGATTATTTCTTTCAAACTCGAGCAAGCAATGTTGAAGGAAATAATTAACTCGTC